AAAAAACTTTTTAAATTTTTATTTTATAATTTTTACAACTACTTACATGTGCATACATTATTTGGATTATCTCCCCCTTCTCCCCCACCAAAATTTTTAAAATAATATCTGGGGGGGAGATAGTATTCTGGGGCTGTGCAGCAATTCTGCTTTAGCACCCATCATTGGATCTCGCCTGCAGGAGTCCTTAGTGTGGTATTGTCATGACGACTGTCCAGTTCTCTCCCACATCTACTAATCGAAGTTCCTCCATGAGGAAGAACTGCTCCTTCATCCCAATTTATCTACTCAGCCAGTCATTTAATTATATGTATTCATGCCTATTTGGATAGAAATGGGTAGGGAAGAGAGAAAAAGGGAGAAAGACAAGAGAAGGAGTTACATGTGCACTTTGTTACTGGCTCTGTCTGCCGAGGGCCTTGAAGTATCAACACTCCAGTAGCAATGAGCATACCCAATTCCATGATCTTGGTTTCTAAACACCTTTCTCCAACAAAGGAAGCAAGGTTCCTTGAATAAACAGTGGGTTCTAGGACTGGAGCAGGGAAAAGAGTCCAAAAAAATAGTATTTAAAAGAGAGGAAAAGAAAAAGGACAGAGCATGTCAAAAAAAAAAAAGTACACAAGCACTAACCTGAAAGGGCCAGAGCTGAAACAATGGAACAAAAAATAATGATAATATGGGAATACAATCTCTTATGAGATACTGGGATTTGAACTCCGGGTTTTGTACTTGCTAGGCAGGCACTCTACTGCTTCAGACATGTCTCCAACTCTTTTTGCTCTGGTTGTTTTGGAGACAAGGTCTTGCTGCCAGACCATGATCCAATTTTAAGCCTCTGGCTGTGGCTAGGATGATAGGCACGTGCCACCAATCCAGCTTTTTTCCACTGAGATGGGGTTCACAAACCTTCTTTGCTAGGACTGTCCTGGAACCAAGATTCCCTCCCCCTCCGCCCCCCCATCTCAGCCTCCTGCATAGCTGTTGAGATGAGGGTCTCTCAGCCTCTCAAGTAGCTAGGCTTATAGGCATGAACCACAGGTACCCAGATTTCTCTTACGATGTTTAGCATATGTTATGTAAAGAGTAATGAGAACTCACAAAATGGCACACAGAGTCCAAATTTTCCCTGGGTTAGCAGGTCATGCTTTCCTAAGGTACATGACAAATGCCTGTCAAAACTAAGGACTAGGATTGGAGGAATGGCTCAAGTAATAGAGTGCCTGCCTAGCAAGTGTGAAGCCTTGAGTTCAAACCCCAGTGCTCCCAAAAAAACTAAGCACTGGACTCACTGATCCTATACAGAAAACAGTCAAAAAATACCACCGGCCTAGAGCAAATGTACTTCATTCAAGTAAAGCCAATATGCAAAACTGTGATTTATACAATAGAAACTGAAACTAAGTCTTATTGCTACCAACCCAATACATACTATATATACTTTTTTTTTTTTTTGCAATACTGGTGCTTAAACTTAGGGCCTACACCTTGAGCCACTCCACCAGCACTTTTTTGTGATGGGTTTTTTTGAGTTAGGGTCTCACAGGAGGATCATGGCTAGCTTCAAACCATGATCCTCCTGATCTCTGCCTCCTGAGTAGCTAGGATTACAGGCGTGAGCCACCAGCACAAACTATTTTTTAAAATATTAAGTAACCCAGGGGGAGAGAAGGGAGGGAAGCTAAAAAGAAAAAAAAGTAACACCTACTCAGCAATATTCTATTCAAGTCCTTTACTTATTACAGGGTTTTAAAGAAAAAGTGTGTTCTCATCAACTGCTTTTAAAGTTAAGTCCAAGAATCAATTGTTTCTGAAACATAACAAATGACCACAAATAGTAAAGAAGGCCACTGTCTATTGGACATTATTTACAAGGGCTCCATGTTGCCAGCTTTCTGTTCATGCCTTCCATTAGTCCTCAAGCACCTCATGAAAGGGAGGCCAAGGCTCAGGTAGACAAGGCATGCTGGTTCGCTGGGAACCTGGCAGGTGGCAGATCCAGGATGTGCTTCACCAACAAGAAACACATCCCTTAGGCAACCCCACATCCTCCCAAGGGGCTGGGGAAGTAAGAGAACTCCTCCTCTAGATAAATTAAGCATTCTTGCTACGGTTTGAATGTTAAAATGCAATCCCATTGTGAAGTATGAGGAAGGAGGAAACCTATTGATGCAGGCCCTTGGGATGTGATCAGGACTATCTAAAGTCATCATGGTGGGGTCCCCATGACTGAATCCTGGTGACTTTATAAGAAGGAGGAGGGACCGCTGACACACAAATGCTGCCTGTCAACTGCCATGTGATGCCCTACACCACTTCAAGGTTCTGCCAGTAAGAAGGGCACCACTGGATGTGGCCTCTGGGCCTGGTCAAAACTGTGAGTCGAAATCAACCCTTTCTGCATGACTTACCTAGTCTGTGTTACCAGCAATAGAAAATGGACCAAGACAGTTCCCTTCCACCAAAGAACTGCTCCTTACAACACACTAAGCTTTGTCAGAAACCATCCTAAAATGTGTTCCAGGAACCTCCGTCTTCCTGACGGAGGCACATCTGTGACCCAGGGTGATCTCTTAAGAGTGAACATAACCTACGCTGACACACTTATAATCTAGGAAGTTCCTAAAGTCTGGGGGCTGCTTGTCCAGCCCACTTTATATTTGTCTCTTCACTAAAATAGCAGGTGGCACATCATGCTACCTTTAAGTTCTTCTCCCCCTTGAAGCTAACAATGGGAACCTGAAAGGATTTCAGTCCTCTCCTAAGGGACAAAGGCATCAAGACCTGCTTGGCATCCTGAACTAGCTACCTTGGGTTAATGTGAGTATCTCAAGGGGGCCTGTCTCAGAAATCTGCTTTTGATACTTTAAAGCAACTGAGGCCAATAAGAGAAAGGTACCAGGACCTAGAGAAAAGGTTAGTTCAAGAATAATTAACTTAGAAGGTAACATACATGCACAGGAAATTAATGTGGGTCAACTCCCTGTATAACTATCCTTATCTCAACCAGCAAAAACCCTTGTTCCTTCCTATTATTGCTTATACTCTCTCTTCAACAAAATTAGAGATAAGGGCAAAATAGTTTCTGCCGGGTAGCGAGGGGGTAGGGGGGGAGAGGGGGTGGGTAAGGGAGAAGATGGGGGAAGGGGGGAGAAATGACCCAAACATTGTATGCACATATGAATAAAATAAAAATTAAAAAGAAAAAGAAGTCTGCTTTTTTTTTTTCTTTCTTTCTGGTGGGACTGTGGTTTGAACTCAGGGCTTCACACTTGCAATACAGGTGCTTTACCTCTTCAGCCATATCTCCAGTCCATTTTGCTCTGGTGATTTTGGAAATGGGGTCTTGTGAACTATTTGCCCAGGCTGTCCTTGAACCTTGGTCCTCCTCATCTCAGCTCCCAAGTAGCTAGGATTACAGGTGTGAGCCACTGGCGTCTGGCTAGGAGTCTGCTCTTTCAATACAGAACCATCAGTACAATGTGATCTCTCATGAGTAGTTTAAAGGTACAGATGGGAATGGAGGAGACTGCCACAGAGAAGGCAGAGTACCTAGAGAAAGAAGTGCCAGAAGACAAGAGAAAATTCAGCAGCTTCAGAGTTGGACAGGTAGGTGAGCATCGCATGCTCTGGGGCTTTGCCTCAGCGAAAGGTGGACTGGGATCTGCCACTACACACCCAATAACCCAGCATGTGAGACATCTCAGCCCTCTGAGTGCCTTCCCTAATGTACAACAGAGAGGTGGTAACAACCACCCTGGCCGATGTCGTAAGAGTAAATGACGGTTCTCAAACCTTTGACAAGATTAACTGTCAATAATCCTTTCATCATCCGAAAAACAACTTTTTATATGAAGAGTCTGAAATCACATTCTATACCCCAAACACTTCAGAAGGCTCTGCACTAATATGGGAGAATTATCATGTTTTCTTAAAAACTGCTTTGGATATTTGGAGCATTAATTCCTTTGATATATTAAAAAACTGGGAGCTGAGCATGGTGGTTTGCGCTATAATCCCAGTCACTCGGAAGATGGGAGGCAGGAGAATCTTGAGTATGAGGCCAGTCGGGAAAAGTTAGCAAGACCCTGCCTCAAAAACTACATCAAAAGGGCTGGGGTAATAGCTCAAGTGGTAGACCACTTGCCCAGCATGCATGAGGCCACCAGTTCAATCCCCAGCACAGCAAAGCTAAAAAAAAAAAAAGCTGAGCTTTAAAACTTAAAATTTGTGATTACAACAAAGCCAGCATTTACTTTCTCATTCTAACAGCTTAATGGTGTCCTGTTTTTAACTCACTGGTGTAATGTATGTTGAGAAGCTGACAAACCCCAAGGCTTTGAAGGGCAAAGAATAACCTCATACTATAAACCAGGTGTGGTAGTATATGTCTGTAATCCCAGCTTCTTGGGAGGCATAGGCAAAGATAGTGAGACTCCCAACATTTCAAAAACAAAATACAAACAAAAGGGCTGGGGCACAGTTCAAGTGGCAGAGTGCTTACCTAGCACTCAAGGCCCTTGGTTCAATCCCCAGTGCTGCCCAAAAAAACAAACAAACAAAAAACAATCTGGAATTATAGCTCCCTTTCCCACAAACAGCAGTTAACCAATTCCAGGAATAAATTTCCCTACCAGGAAGTTATTTTTCAGTGTATAAATATGTAAGTTGATTCACAGGAAATGAAAGTGCAAGGACTACTAATACATTTAGGCTAAAGTTTATTTATAAAAATCCATCACAGACACAACTGTTTAAAGTGAAGTGTGCTTTTACAACTCCCAGTTTCTGCAGTCGTTTACGACTGATAGTAAAGTAAACCTGGGCAAGAGAAAACTCCAGCATAATGAACATAACATCAGCCCATAATCCTGTCCACAGAAATCTGACTGAATCTTACATATCACAGAGTGGACACAGTTTTTCCACTGACATTAAGTTGTGCTTATTGGTTCAAATGTTGTCCATATTCAGTCACAACCGTGCCCTTCATCACCTACCTTTCAAAGTGCTGTTTCATTTGTTTACATGCATAGTAGGTTCCATCTCTTAGGCTCTGCATCTTCATAACTTCAGAAAATGTTCCCTCTCCTATTTTGCCAATTGCTTTATAGTCTACAAGTAAAAATAATTATTAAAAATAAACTTTATTTATGCATGTATTTTACATTCATTTCTAGACAACGATCTTTTTATCTTATGGTAATTTCACAGCAATAATATTGAGGATTGGTTCTCTGATTTTTGGCAAGGTTAGTGTTGCCTTCACATTAGGAGAAGCTGAGCTGCGTGTTGGAGATGAGGTACCATGTCTTGCTCTCCCAGTTGGGTGTTCCCTTGTACAGGAGGAATCCCTGGCCAGTGAGCAGAGGCAGGAATTGTTCTAGCAGGAGTGGTCAGGGGCATGGGTTTTGGCACTGAGCAAGTGTCCTAGTACCAGCAGCAGCCTCTCAGCATTCTCCTGAAATTCATTCTCCCTAGTTCTAACAGAAAGCCCAGGTCATCTGCAGCACTTTCCTGCAATTCCCATGTGTCCTAATTGTCCCTGGCTTTGTTGCCAACACCATGACCCCCAGCCCAGACACTGGTTTTGTAAGCCTCAAATTCACTGTGTTAAATGCCCTCCTGCTTGAAATACCTACAGTGGTTTCTCTGGCCAACACCAAATGAGTACCTTAAAGGGGTACTACACTTAAGCAGCTCTTGGCCTAACAATCAGGAGGCAATAAGAGGCAGGAATGTGGGAGAGCAAGCTTGGTGTACCATGACAGAGTGTTGCCAGTGATTAACTAGTTAGTGCCTGCAGCAACCGCTGCCTGTCATGAATGAAGGGTCCACAGTCTACCAGCCCAGGGAAGGTATGGGAGAATCAGGGTGAGGAAGTGGGCTGATTTTACTGATTACCTTCACAAAGACAGGCACTGGACAAAAGGGAGGAAGGGAGTAGAGAGAGAGGGAGGGAGAAATGGAAGGAAGGAAAAAAGATCTTATCTGTTAGCAAGAAATTGTGAAGTCCTTCCAGGTGGAACTGATATTTGGATTTATTTCAAACACTCCTATACATTCCCCATGTACTGTTACTGAACATATAAACTGGCACAGTCTTTTTTGGAGGGCAATTCTATAAGGTATGAATTCTCTTTGATCTGACAATTCTAAGTTAAAAATACTTGTTTAAGTATAAGTAGTAGGTGGATGTTATACAACATTTTTATAATTTTAATTTTTTTTAGTGAAGCAGTATTTACTAAGAAAAAATGTGATAACTCAAATACTGTCCAGAGGGAACTGGATGAATTAAGTGTGGTGTATCCTTATGATGTAATACACTATAAATGTTTAGAAGAGTGATGTGGGGCACTCTCTCGGGACACCCTCACACACTCGGGGGCTCTATTCTCCTGCTCTACACTTTTCTACCTCAATAAACTCTCCTGCTTTACTTGGAAAAAAAAAAGAATGACACAGGAAGACAGATCTTTAAAAATGATGTCTTACAGACTACAAACACACCACGTGAACATACACTGACAGGTAAGATTATAGGTGTCTTTTTTTCTAAGTTAGATACTTCCATAATGTTTTTTGGGTTTTTTTAATGAGAGCACTATTTTATTTTTTAAAAAATCAATGACAAGCCAGATATAATGGTCACTTGGGAAGTGGAGGCAGGAGGATCAAGAGTTCAAGGCCAGCCTGGGGAAAGCTAGAAAGATCCTATTTCAAAAACAAAATATAAACAAAAGTGCTGGGGAATGGCTCAAGTGGTAGAGCACTTGCCTAGTATGCATGAGGCCCTGGGTTCAATCCCCACTATTGAAAAAAATCAACAATAACAAGAATAGCTTAAGAGAATACTCCAGCAAAAAATGTAGAAGTAGGAAGAATTGCAAAATGTTGACGACTGTTGAAACTAGGTGTGGATACACATGAGGACTCATTATTGCACAGTATTTTCTCAACTGCTGGTGTGCTTAAATTTTTTCATAACAAAAACAAAAAAGGAAAAACAAAACCCTCTACAAGTAATTCTCCATGATTTCACCTCCCTCCAACTAGCCGGATGTCTTTTAGGAGAGACCTCAGGAGTTAAAGATGGTGAAAAAGCCACTCAGGAAAGATGTCCAACCTGGATATGAATCCACACAGCTATGTCCACCTTATTTTTGACAAAGGTGCTAAAAACATATGATGGAGAAAAGACAGCCTCTTCAACAAATGTTGCTGGGAAAAGTGGTTAGGTGCCTGCAGAAAACTGAAACTAGATCCATGTTTATTACCCTGTACTAGTATCAATTCAAAATGGATCAAGGACCTTAATATCAGACTTGAAACTCTGAAGTTAGTAAAGGAAGGAGCAGAAAACACTCTGGAAGTAATAGGTATAGGCAAGGACTTCCTCAATAGAACCCCAGCAGCTCAGCAACTAAGAGAAAGGATGGACAAATGGGACTTCATAAAATTAAAAAGCTTCTGCACAACAAAAGAAATGGTCTCTAAACTGAAGAGACCACCCACAGAGAGGCAGAAAATATTTGCCAGAGCTATACATCAGACAAAGGACTGATAACTAGAATATACAGGAAGCTCAAAAAACTAAACTCCCCCAAAATCAATGAACCAATAAAGAAATGGGCAACTGAACTAAACAGAACTTTTCAAAAGAAGAAATTCAAATGGCCAAAAACCACATGAAAAAAATGCTCACCATCTCTGGCCATAAAGGAAATGCAAATCAAAACCACACTAAGATTCCACCTCACCCGTTAGAATAGCTATCATCAAAAACACCACCAACAACAAATGTTGGTGAGGATGTGGAGAAAAAGGAACTCATACACTGCTGGTAGGAATGCAAGCTAGTCCAACCACTCTGGAAAACAATACGGAGGCTTCTTAAAAACCTAAACATAGATCTGCCATATGATCCAGCAATCCCACTCCTGGGGATATACCCAAAGGAATGCAATTTAGGTTACTCCAGAGGCACCTGCACACCATGTTTATTGCAGCACTATTCACAATAGCCAAGTTATGGAAACAGCCAAGATGCCCCATTATTGATGACTGGATTAAGAAAATGTGGTATTTATACACAATGTAATTTTACTCAGCCATGAAGAAGAATGAAATCTTATCATTCACAAGTAAATGGATGGAACTGGAGAACATTATTCTGAGTGAGGTTAGCCAGGCTCAGAAGACCAAAAATCGTATGTTCTCCCTCATATGCGGGCTTTAGGTCTAGGGCAAATACAGCAATGTTGTTCGACTTGGGTCACATGACAAGGGGAGAGCATATACAGGTGCCATGGGGATAGGTAGAAAACCCAAAACATGAAAGCGTTTGATGTCCCCACTCCAGAGGAACTAATATAGAAACCTTAAAGTGACAGAGGTCAACATGAGATCAGGAACCAGTGTAAAGATCAGTTAGAGATGAATCAACTTGAGTTGTAACACATTTATACATGAAAGCAATGCTAGGAATCTCTCTGTATAGCTATCCTTAACTCAACTAGCAAAAACGCTTTGTCTTTCTTATTATGCTTATGTCTTCTCTTGAACAAAATTAGAGATAAGGGCAGAACGGGTTCTGTCTGGAAGTGAGTGGGGCTAGGGGGGAGAGGGTGGGGGCAGGGGGCAGGGGGAGAAATGACCCAAACAATGTACACATGTGTAAATAAATGAATAATAATAATATAAAAAAAAACAGAAAATGTGGTATTTATATACAATGTAATTTTACTCAGCCATGAAGAAGAATGAAATCTTATCATTTGCAAACAAATGGATGGAACTAGAGAACATCATCCTGAGCGAGGTTAGCCAGGCTCAGAAAACCAAAAATCATATGTTCTCCTTCATATGCAAACTTTAGATCTAGAACAAATGCAGTAATATTATCAGACTTGGGTCACACGCTAAGGGGAGAACACATACAGGAGGAATAGGGAAAGGTAGGAAACCCAAAACTTGAAAGTGTTTGATGTCCCCACTGCAGAAGAGCTAATACAGTAACCTTAAAATGACAGTGGTCAATATGGGAAGGTGACCAGGAAGTAGTGAAAAGGTCTGGGAGAGATGAGTCAATTTGGGTTGTAATACACTTGTGCATGGAAACAATGCTAGGAATCTCTCTGTATAGCCATCCTTATCTTAACTAGCAAAAACGCTTGTCTTTGTTACTATTGCTTATGTCTTCTCTTCAACAAAATTGGAGGAGCAGGCAGAACAGGTTCTGCTTAGAAGTGAAGGGGGTGGTAGGACAGGGAGGTGGCAGGGGGCAGGGGGGAGGAATGGCCAAACAATGTATGCACATATGAATAAATGAATAAAGAAAAGAAAAAGAAAGATGTCCAACTAGGAATGCCTACACAGGACTTTACAAGAACGAGAAAAATATTTTTCTGGTGTAAAGCCCCTGAGAGCTGGACAGTTATCAATTACAGCACCTAGAAAGCCACACATAACTAATTTATCTGATATATAAAATCATGATTTATAAAAAGAGAAATATAATGACAGACTTTCTTTTGCGAGAGGGTCTTGCTATGTAGTTCAGGCTAGCTTCAAATTCATGATGTAGTCCAGGATGGCCTCAAATTCATAATCCCGTCCTCAGCTTCTCAGGTGTACAGCACCACGCCCCAGTGACAGACTTTTGAGAAGAGCAATTCATATTTGTAAGACTTGATGTTTCTAAAAAATCTGCTATTTGATAAACAATGACTTTATTTGTAAAAATTCAATTTAGAATTTTTCTGAACATATTTATATTCATATTTTATATTTAGATTTGGATTTTACCCTACTTACAAGTTACCAAATTAGCTTTTATTTCATTGATGCTGACAGACGATGAAAGCCTCTTGGGTCAGAGACAAAGTACTTTATTATTCATAGTACAGAAAGGTGTAGGTATTAGTCCATTTTTCACTATTATATGAAATACCAAAGGCAGGCTGACTTCATAAAGAAAAGAGGTTTACTTAGGTCCATGGCTCTGAAGATTCAAGGATGCATATGTAGTGCTGACCTTGCTGACAGCATGCTCAGGGGAGCGTAGGGCATCCAAAGATGGAGTGAATGTATGTATGAATCTGCCTTGTCTT